TTAAAAAAAAAACTTTAGGGTGGAAAACAAAGTAAAAAAACAAGGCAAAAAAAGGCAAAACCTGAAAAAGGAATTGTTGTCACATCTCACGTGTTTGGGAATGTGAAGCACATTTTCTGAAAGAAATGGTTGTCTATGCCATTTTCCGCAACTCTATCCTCTTATTTACATGCAAGAAAATGGAGAAGACACATCACATCCATCTCCTAATCTTAGGGCATGTTCGTTTCCTCTAAAGTTTGACATTTGAAAGTGCAATAATTACATTAAGAGGTATATTGGTATTGGTGAACTTTTCTTTCCTCTAAACTCTGAATGCAAAGAATGTTGTTCTGAACTCTCAATTCTGAATTCTAAAAAATGTCAAATATCCATTTTAACCCTATATTTGAGATTTTTTTTGTTTTTATGTAATTCAAAAAAAAAATATTATTAAAATTTAGAATAACGATTCATAATTATTGCTAATTAATACAATTAATTATTAATTAATATATTAATTAATAATTAATTAACAATTAATAATTAATAATTAATTATTCTTATTATTTCATTATTATTACTAATTATTAACAATTAATAATTATTAATATTAATAATTACTATTATTAATAATAATTAATGAATTAGTCATAATCAATTATTAAATAGTAATAATTAGTGATAATAATAATAATGAATATTAATTAATAATAATTCTTATTATTAATTAATAGTAATTAAAAATAATAATAATTATCAATATTAATTATTAATTAATATTATTAACAATTACTATTAATTAATTGTAATTATTATTACTAATTATTAGTATTTTTAATTACTATTAATTAATAATAATAATTAATATTAGTTATTATTATCACTAATTATTAGTAATTAATAATTAACAATTACTAATTCATTAATAATTAATATTATTTATTCTTATTAATTCGTTATTATTACTATTATTCGTAATCAACAATTATTATTATTGCTAACTATTACTAATTAATAATTAATAATTAGTATTAATAACTATTAATTATTATTATTACTAATTAATATTTATTAATTATTATTTATTACTATTTTTGATTAATCCATATTCAATTTGTTATTAATTATTAATTCATTGTTAAGTAATTATTTGTATCATTGTTATTACTTAATTAATTATTTATTCTAATTATTATTAATAAATTATTATTCTTATTACTTTTTAATTTACTATTATTAATGACTAATACTAATTATTTATTAAAATTATTCATATTCAGTAATTTTATTATTAATTAATTTCAATTATTGTTAACTTACGCATTACTGATTATTAATATTATTAAAAACTATATAATACTATATAATATTATTATTGATTAATAATTGTTAATAATATTAAGTACTAATTAGTCATTACTGAATTGATATTAATATTGTTATTATGCATTATGAATAATATTATTTATTATGACATAATTATTCATTCATTAATTAATAATAATATTCTTAAGTAGTTATTATTAATTACATATTTTTATTATTATTATTATTATTATTATCATCATCATCATCATCATCATTGATTACTAATATTATTAATTCTTAATAATTATGATTAATTATTAATTACTTAATAATTAATATTATTAATAGTATTACTAATTAAGATCAATGATTAGTATTATTCATATTACTACTAATGAATGATAATATTATGATTAATTAATTATTAGGTATTACTTAATAATTCATTACTCATTAATGATTAATACTAATTAATCAATGTTAAGTATTAATTATTAATTCATTGTTAATTAATTAATAATATTATTGTTATTAATTAATTCTTTACTTAATTATTTTTATTAATTAATTATTCTAATTATAATTAAATAATTACGATTATTGAATAATTGATTATTATTAATTTATATTTAAAATAATTAATATTAAGTAATATTATTAGTAATTGCTTTTCATTATTAATAATTATGATTTACTAATTATTAATATTATTAATAATTGTATAATATTATTATTAATTATTAATAATATTAATAACATTGATTCAAAATTAATCATTAATGAATTAATCTTAATATTACTTTTGGAAATTATTTTGAATTAATTATTCATTAATTTATATTTAAAATAATCAAATTACAATGTTTCTTTGCTTTTAACGTTTAAAAGGGTAAAATCTTCCAACGATCAGTGAATAAGTGCTATCGAACAGTCACAAAACCGCTGAACACATACGGTGACCAATAAGAGATCAGTGTTCAGTGATACCAAACATGCCCTTAATCTTATTTTAGGACCACCCTTGAATGGGTCAATAGCTAAACCATCAACATTTAGGATTGCCATTCAGTTTCTGTACACTGACACCGGTAGGCTTGTCAATAGATTCGATATAGGTCCAATCCAATCTAATCCGGTATAAATCCATTATAGATAGATCAGGTCCAATCCAATCCGATGAATACATTCATCGGACCATTGTATATTGGTCCAATTCAGTGTATGAACTGTTCAAGCTGTTCAAATTAGTTTTAATTTAGCTTGGGTCCAATCCAATCCAATGAATATTTCGGACCATTAAATCTTGTCTGATCGAATTTAATGTCTTTATTAGTCCGTTCAATTCATTCAAATTGATTTTAATTTGGAAAGGGTCCAACCCATGCCTGGTCGAAACAGGTCTGAACTCTGAATTGAAAAGTCACAAGGCCCCATGCATATTTTATCCTATATCACTATATGAATTTCACCTAATTGCCCATTTGGGTTGGGAGGGTAATTGAACGCCGGTTCAGCTGTTTATGTAGAGAGGCTGAAGCGGATGACCGACTAACAGCCAATTTGTTTAAAGGCTAGGGGCCAATGTTGGAAAGCGAGAAGCTGCTGCACCTCAACCCTCCAAAACAAGCATTTAGTATATGTTATAATGAGAAAACGGTGCTGCTAATGTGTGGGTTGGATACATCGTTTTTTAGAAAATTGTCTTTTTTTTTGTTTGGAAATGTTGTTGTTAGGTAGAACATTTTCTGGAGCAACAACAATACTTTATGTTTGGTACCAATGCTTTATATCTGTTTTCAGCACTGGTACCCATTATAAGAAGTCTACGTCACTGCCACATCATGTTCTCATTAACAACAACGAGCTTCAATCTAAAAAAAATGTCAAATTCAGCGTTGCTCCAAATCACATCTTCTCGGTTTCCAAGGAATGGCTTGAAGCACTATTTTTTTATGAAAAAACGGTTCCAAACATATTGACGTTTTCTAGAGCACCATTTTTTCCATGGAGCTAATGTGTCACCGTTTTCTGGAGCAACAGCATTGATGCCAAACAAACACTAAGAGGGTGACAGATAACATGGTTGTTACAACTGTTACATCAGTAAAATTATCTTTTTTTACTAGTATCAATGTTTTAAAATACAACTTGGAACTAAAACCATTCTGGCTATCGGTTTCCAGGTCAACAATTCGACCATCCAATTCAAACGAGCATCTCATTCTGAAAAAAAAAATTAAAAATTAATAATAGTTAATAAAACAACCAAAAACCGTTGAACAAGTCAATAGTTCGACCGCCCAACAAAGTTCAAAGTGTCAATACGTATCAACCCGTATCGACTGATATGTATCATACCAATGGCTTCCCAATGCTCCCCAACCAAGGTTCAAAGTATCGATACGTATCGGTCGTTACATATCGTTCCGAGACCCCTCTGATACGCCCCTACGATGGGTGTATCGGGGGTCTAACCGGCATATTGGGCATATCGATATTTTGAACCTTGGCCCCTACAAGGATTGTATCAAGTCAGCCATTGGTTCAAAAGGTAGTCAGACGTTAAACCGATCCCTCTGAACCGATTTCAAAAAAAAAAATAAAACATAAAAAAAACACCAACACAGGAAGGCATATTGGCCCGTATCGACATTTAGAAAAGGTTCGAAATATCGATACACCCAATACATCGGTAGAGGCGTATTGGGCGAATCAATACTACTTTTTGTTGTTTTTTCCTTATTTTTTTCCGCAACCAATTCAGGGGGGCTGATTTAGGGCTCCTCCACCCCCTAAACCGGTCAAACCCCCAATACACCCACTATAGGGACATATGAGAGAGGTCCCGAAACAATAGATATCAACTGATACGTATCAATACTTTTAACCTTGTTTTAGAACCTTGCCGCCCGAGTCTAACAGATCATTAACCGATTCAAAGTGCATCTAATTGTGAAATTATCCGCAATATTTGCACATCCAAACTTCCAAAGTATTGATACTTTGAATTATATATATATATATATATATATATATATATATATTACAGAGGATTAAGAGGTGAGGGCAAGAGGGTGCACGTGAGGTCCACTGACCTTGTCAGTGCAGTTTCGCCGATGCACGTGCGGTGTCCTTGATCAAATTAAACACAAAAAAAAAAGTCTGAATGTAGAGCAATATGCCTAATTTAATCCAATATGACAACCATCCATTTAGGTGAGACCCACTTAATGGTAGCTCACCTTCATTGAAAAATAGTGCTAGCATTTGGGTTTGGTTACAACAATCAGAACTGACTGGAATTGGATAAACAACTCCATGTCTTTTATATTTTCATTTCCAGATTCAGATCTAATTGGTGGGTTGATGGTAGACTAGAAACCATTCCTTCAGTACAGTAGATTCCTAATCCTCTTAAATGAGAGATACGTGGACGTGGCAAGTTGCAAGGGTCCCACAACCATCCTAGACCAAGGATTCCATATCTATAGCCCTGTTCACCCCCATTGGATACGTGGCGAGTTATGAGGGTCCCACACCCATCCAAATATGAAAAATGAGAAGGCACCTAAATCATATACAAAATACCAAACACTCCACTAAAAGTAAAACTTGGGGGGTATTGCTTGGACCCACTTCACCAGCAAGAAAATAAAGAAAGCCCATTTACACCAACCACCATACCAAACAAGATCCACACGAACCCAAAATTAAAATAAAAAAACGTTACTATAAATTTCATGGTCAAAGCCTCAAAGGCGAATAAAGAAAAGAATAGACCGAGAGACTGAGGAGATTGAGATTAGAATTGCTTTCATTTTCCCATTGGCGGTGCACGTTTTCTTTTTTGTGTCTACACAACGCCATTACATTATATAAAGAAAAACGAAAAACAAAAAACAAAAGCAGAAAAGCAAATTGGAGGGAACCAAAGCCAAACGAGAGAGGGAAAAGCAGTTGGGCCACCTTAGCCCCTTTGCGCTGCTTGCTTTCTTTCCCTCTCCGGGCACATCTACCGTTCATTTAGCATCTTTCTTTTGCTTATGGTTATGGTATATATACGGTCGATGATTTATCTTATCATCGACGACCCATGACCGATCCATATGTACAAACATCACCACCCACCACCGCATTAAACCCCTTTTCAGATTTAACACAAAAAACAAAAAGCAGAAACAAAATAAGGAGCAACTTTTTTACTTTCTTTCTCACGCCTGTAGTTGGGCTCATTTTTGTGGGTTTGGGCCTTCAGATTTTGACGCCTCTTCCACCTGTCGTTCCACCTACATCAACATAAACAGAACCCGGACGAGTCAGGTCGCTACTCGGATTATACACAACATCAATGGAAAAGAAAATCAATTAATCAAATTAAGAGACCACGCATTGCCGAGTTGATAGCGATTCAAACTCGCTATGGAAAACCCACCGACGCATAACGAATAACGAGTAAAGCTCAATACAAACTAACAGAAAACTCGCTATGGAAAACCCACCACGCATTGTCACGAATAATGAGTTTAACTAACTGAGCCAATTCAGATAGAAAAACGAGTTCAATTCCAATAACTGAATCGTCAGCGGCGACGAATTTACTCCGTCATCTCCAAATTTCCAGATTTGACGGAAACATTAAACAAATTGTTTTCCAATGGGTCAACTCGGCCTGTTCCCGAGTCAAGTCGACCTAGTCAACCCAGCCACATACTCGGATGCGCAGAGAGAGAGAGGGAGAGAGGGAGAGAGAGAGAGAGAG